TTCATATATTACTCATTGGCTTTTTACATTCAGAGATTTTATCGCATGTACAGATCAGCACGCAAGTGTATATACAGTAGGTGTTGTCAGCTTATTGTTTCACTTCACCTGATGCGAGCAAAAAGTGCAGACACAGCAGAATGCTGTGCTATCAATATGCAATATGTGTTTGTGGTGTTAAAAATGTGGATGACAGAGCGAGATACAAAAGCCCTAATTTGAGTTTCATCCTCCATTTAAGATTAGAGCTAATTGAGCTGTTGCTTGGCACTCCTGTCACTCTGAGGCTCATTGACGATCTTCTATAAGTCTGACTGCTTAGATAACCACATTGTCTGAATGAAGACAAATTTGTCTACAATGGAGGAAAAATTCATGGCTGTAGAGTGAAAAGTACAGGCAGGTTGGAGAGATTTTTTTAGAGATGTTTCTCAGATTCTTACACTAATGATGTCACCACTCTAGGCTCTCAGCATTCTCTATCAAAGAGAGCAATCATTTCTCATTTTCTCCAATTTTAACCAAGGCTCAAAGTTGAATTGTTTAGAAAGTATGAAAGTTGAATAAAAGTGATAATTGTCCACACACTTTTGAATGTTTTAAACTATGAACTGGGTTTCTATCTGAAAGTGTGAATGAGATTTTAGATGCATGAAATTTTGTGAGAAAGTGGGAATTTTGAACATTCCTTCTATTAATTTCAATGGGGGAAAGTGTTCACTTTGAAAAGTATGAAAGATATCAGTAATAAAAATATTGCAGAAGCACACCTGCCATAAATTAACTTCAGATAAAACTTGAATGGTCTGAATAGTTTTAAGTGTGTAGAAGGAGTTGAGTGTCAAATAGTGAACAGAATAACAAAAATGTCCGAACCCTGAGAAGAACACATTGTGGGATTGCTGACGTAGCAATCCCAACAAATATCCAATGCTCCTCTTTCAAACTTTCTAATACTCCTTGATCCTTTGGTCTCAATCAACCATCAGTATAAGGCACAACTGACCCAAGAGTAAAAACAAAATTGACCTGCTGTTGTCAGACAATTAGTCCAAAAGATTGACAATATGAAAACAAAATCAAACAGCCTATTTACTGCAGTGCTTTTTCAAAGTAGCGTGCCATGTTCACGTGTATTACTGAGCTGACATTTCACTGAGCCAAAGTGTAAGTAAGTAGGTCTACTTTGTGAATACAAAATAAAAAACATAAAAACACAGGATCCCTTTTGGCTGTATACATACATACAGACATACATATACAACCATAGGCCTGTTTTACATGAAATTAAAATAATTTGCGAGAATATTTTCTATATATTTATATTAAAATCAAAAACATCCCCTCTCCAGAAATCCGGAACAGTGCTGGAGAACTTTATGCCCTGTGTCCAGGATTCTTGCATTAAGCTTACTTACTGGATCTTTCTGCCAATCAAATGTCACCCTACCTTTTTTGGGATATTCTATAGTGCTAATTCCTTCTGTTTTTAAACATTTTATCATGTGTAAATTGTCTAAACCTTGCAAAATGAGGACAGGCTATAAAACAAATCCAATAAATAATAATAATAATAATACAAAATCAATTTCCAGGAAAGTTGGAGTGGGTGGGTTCTCTCCGGCCTCCTCTCACAGTCCAAAGACATGCAGCTTAGGTTGACTGATGACTCTAAACTGCCCAAAGGAGTGAACGTGTGTGGTTGTTTGTCTACATGTCAGCCCTGTGATAGACTGGTGACCTAGCCAGGGTGGACCCCACCTCTTGCCCAATGTCAGCTGGGATTGGCTCCGGCCCCCCATGACCCTATTCAGAAATAAGTGGTATAGATACCCTTTATTTAACAGATAAAAGTAAAAAGAAAAGGTTTTCAGTGTTTTGACTGACTTAAGGTAGGTAGGTACTTTATTGATCCCACAGTGGGGAAATTTCTGTGTTACAGCAGCAATGGAGAACAACCAACATAACACCATAAGAACAGAACTCCATAGAAACACGGGAAAGAACATGAGGACACAGCTGCTGTAACTTGCTGCCACTCCGCACGGCACAACAGTGAACACTTGGTCTTAAAATAAAAAGTTACATAAAGGCAACAAAGCATCAGAGCCGATACACACAAGTAGTGTCATCAGAACGTTACATTTTACAGCACAAATAAGCAAATCAAAGGCACCTAAAAACAGGGCAGAGCAGCACTGGAGAGAATCAGGAACAGCAGTAGAGACTAAACAACCAGGAAATCAAGAGCAATCGAATATTACTCACACAACTGATCCCACAATGGGGGAAAGAAACCTGTGTTTCAGCCATAAGGATCTCTGAGCAACTACTCAAAAATACCTAAAGCAGGGTATTTTTGACTAGTTGCTCAGAGATCAGATGGGACTGTGTCTATAGTAATGCTGCTTCATAACTGTTGGATGCATAAATAAAGAACTGTTTATTTCAGAAGTTCACCATATCATATTAGCTAAAAACAAACATCACTTATTGTAGGTTCAACTTAAGGTCCACTACTAACCTTCCTGCAACCTTTCTACCTCCCTAAGCACATCCAGCTGTCTTTAATAGCAGGTGGAAGTGCATGTCCTTGCAAGCTTCGGTTATTGACTTCAGCAGTAGAATTACGGTATCAGCTGATATTCTCTGAAAGTAGCTGCTAACACTTGCACTGTTACATGCCTCAAGCTGACTCCCCTCATAGCAACCTGTACTGTTTCCATTGGTTCAACAATGTGTCACCTTTGTAACATTGCTCCTAGCGAGGTCCATGGTACTCTCGGTATACTAGTCACAAGCGTGTTCTGCACTCTGAAGGTGGCTGCAAACAGTGGCACTGTTTGTTCCTGCAGCTATCCGTACTGTTCGGGGCATTTTATTCTGGACCTGCGTCATTGAGAGGTAGGCATGAGACTCAACACCGGAGATGGTGCATGTCACACACCCACTAGAGTGGAGCACAGCAAGAAGCAACAGAAAACTTTGTTCCACAGCATGATGATATCCAGAGACAGAGTATATATGTGCTTCAGGACTTTTGTCTGGTTCTACAAAGAGGCCATTTTTTCCCTCCACTGACCACTAACTTGTTTCACTCTCTGCCATTGCCAGATTCCATACCAATGCTTCAGCTCTGTTTGAGAGGAGAAACACTCCAGTGGCAACAAAACTCATTTAACCAGTGGCACCAGACCCGTTTATATTTCACATCAAGTGAAGTTAAAAGCATGTCTGTGGTTTCTATTTGACTGATTAGTCACTGAGTATACTGCACACCAACTTCCACCAATAATAATATAGCATTTGATCACATTTTGAGAGCCACCCACCAATTAGCCATGGGTGCGAGTAACACATCAGTTAATTACTAATAAGACACGTACCAATCAACCTTCCTTTTCCCTATTTGATCAAAAAGATCAAATAGGGAAGAAACTGACCTATCTAAGAAGTGCAAGCATGCATGCACGAACGAAAAAAAAACATGTTGCTGTACAGCCGAGCTGTTATTCTAAAAAAAACCATATAGGCATTAAGATAATATAATATTTTTTCTGGAAGTTATGGTTGAAAAAGTCACAGATAGTCCCTAAAAGTGTTTGGGGAGCCCAGTTCAGTCTACCGGAGTATGTGTTTGGGGCTTGTGTAATGTGTTTTACTGCCATGAAAGAAATAAATTACAGATGAGAAAAACTGGTTAAAGCATCTCCCATCTTCTTTACTGCAGACACAGTCCTGGGACAAAAAATGTTAGAAAAGCAGCCAAGAGCTGCCAGTGTTGAAGGCAGCCTGAAAAATATGACAGTGGCAGCACTTCAAAGTAACACACTTTCACACTGTGGTGTGGTTAGAGCACCCCCACAGGGCTGCTGTGGTAAGAGTGCAGTATCTGCTGTTTGTAACATGACTGATTTTGGCACATGAATAGTGTTTTATATATGTGGTCATCAGCTGCTTTTGGTGCTGTTGCCTATTGATAATTATGCCTGTATTCTGTGATTTTTGTTGTTCACTGAACAATTTGGATTAGAGCTAAAAATATTAAAATAATGACATGAGGTAACACCGAATCAGGCTGCTGCTCCCCGTGGAAGTGACTCTGAGATGCCTGAAGAATTCTGTCTGTGCACATTTTCATGGAGATTTTTTTTTAAATTCACCTGTAGTGTAGGCTGTATTTTGCAGGGGGCAGAAATGTTTTACACATAACTGGGTTCACTTCTAAAATAGGAAATAAAATATACATATATGGCAAATAAAATGCTTAATGGGTCCAACTTCAGAAAATTGAAAACACAGCCAGCATTTCTGCCTGTTTTACTGCCTGTGAGGGTCATGCTGATGAGCCATTTAGTTGAACAATGAGTTTTATTTTTTTACATTTTGATGGGTTGGACTCCACTATGTTTGCATGAACTGGGTAAATCTAGCAAACCAAATGGCTGCTTGCTGTACATTCATATAAAGACCTAACTCCACAGTGCTGACAAAGACATCAGTCAAATCTCTACTTTGTGTCAGAGAAAATAATTTTGACAGCTTACAACCTGCTAACAAGAGACTATGTGAATATGTGGTTGAAGACAGGAAAGTGACACAAATGTAGGACTCATGTTTTGCTTTAACAGATGTTTCATGTTTTACTTTTACATGTTATAATGAGGGTTGTCTAATATTCAGGCCAACACAACAGTTCTACTCGGTGATTACTTGATCTGGAGTCACACACTTAACGACTGACCGAAACCCTCTAAGACTGGATGGGCCACACTTAATGACTGTTTTCACTAACAGACTGGACTCGACTTGGTCCAACTGGATCCAGTCAGTTCTCCTGTCCAAATACCATTCATAATTGTCGTTAAGTGTGTACCTGCCTTAAGCCAGCCCAAAAAGATCACACGAGGGTAGAGGCTATTAGTGTTCTTAGCCTTTAAATAAGCCATCGCTTTTACTGTGGCTAATATAGCCTTCACTTGTAAAAACAGGGAGCCTACCTGAGTCATTGCGTAGGTAGGACGACATGGCAGGAATGAGGCAGGACTGGCTCAGCAGCTCCTGCAGCACTGCTGGCAGGGCTGAGCTGTTGTGGGCTCTGCTATCTGCTGAAGAAGCATCAGTACTTTGGCAGCTACTGGAGCCTGCTGGGTTGATGTAGCTTGCCAAGACCTAGTAAACAAAATAATGTAAACTCAAGATGGGTTATAATAAAACTAACTTGCTTAAATTGACACAGAAGTACAGGCTTCAGAGGACCTGCTCTGGACAACCTCTGTCCTTGACCATACTGTCATTACTGTCCATTTAACTATGATCCCAAAGCTCCCTGTTCAATAAAAACAAATACTGACCCAGATTAAAATGTTTACATAGGAGAATTTTTTTTTTTTGTGTAACATTTCAAAAAAGTTAGAAGTGTAACCAAAGGCACATTATGCACTTTGGATAAA